TGAGAAAGTTTCTCATTATTATGACTTACAGAATTATATTTTTTTTATTTAGTGGCGGAAACGGGCTTCCATAATGATGCATATGTACAATGATGTACATATAACATTTTGACTCTCTAAATGTTTTTTGTAGTTGTATTTATTAATCACTGTATCCTTTTTCCATCTAATTAAATTTTCCAAGTTTCATGTGAAACTCAGACCCTATAAACTTTTCAATAAGTAGGCGCAGAAAACTACAGGTGAGGTCTGTTCCTGTTTCAGTACTGCTGTGGTTCATATTGTACAGAGGTTCACATGACGGAGCTTAAAGATAGCCCTTAATGCCCTAGTATCATTACTTTGAAGTTTGTGGTCATGCATGTGTTCATATACTACCAATTAAAAGTTTGTGTTGGTAAGATTTGTTTTTTATGTTTTTGAAAGAAGTCTCTTATGCTCACCAAGGCTGCATTTATTTGATAAAATACAGAAAAAAATATATTACAATTCAAAATAACTGTTTTCTAGTTAGTTTAATACATTTAAAAATGTCATTTATTCCTGTGATGGCAAGACTGAATTGTCACATTCAATCAATTTAATTAGTCTTTTCTTAAAGTATTACTTTCTTTAAAAAATATCCCCGAATCTTACTGATCTGTCTTTTGAATGGTAGTTTATATGCTAGAGTGTATCATCTGCTAATGGATGTTTTGATCAATTTAATGTGTCTTTTCTGAATAGAAGTATTAAAAAACCTTACTGACCTCTATTTTTGAATGGTAGTGCATATGTTGATATTACCTGCTAATGGATGTTATGGACTTTGTGTGAACTACATGAAGGCCATGTCAGAGTGAAAACAGTCCATGAATGCTTCTCAGTGACGGTTGTGCAAGCTTCTGTAGTTGTGCTTACCTTGAGTTGACCTTAGGGCTAGAGTTGCAAAGGCCTTAGGTATAACCAATAACTTCCACTGGTTATTGAACTCTTGGGCTGTTTGCTTAACCAGGAGGTGTTTCTGGTTAAACAAACTCCGATAGCCTGGTCCTTGGTCATCCTTATCTTTGCATTAGCACAAGCTAGTCATCACTTGGCCTGTGAGCAGGCTTGAAGTACAGATAGCAGACGTTTCTTGGTGAAAACGTTTTTTCTGTACTGATAATACCTCTGCTCAAGAGATAGAGTTTGTCCTTGTCATGTTTGTAAGTAATACAAATCTTTCTATGTCCTTTTCCACAGGTGATTTTCAAAGCCAAAGCGAAATATTCACCGGAACTCAATAAGTACAAGTAAGAGATTTTCTTTCCTAGCTGTGAGGGCTGTGACTGAATTAAAGGAATAGTTCACCCAAAAATGAAAATTCTGTCATTAATTACTTACCCTCATGTCATTCCAAACCCACAAGACCTTCGTTCATATTCAGAACACAAATTAAGATGTTTTTGATGAAATCCAAGAGCTTTCTGACCCTCCATAGACAACAATGCAACTGAAATGTTCCCAGACCTAGAAGTGTAGTAAGGAAATCGTTAAAATAGTCCATGTGACATCAGTAGTTCAACTGCAATTTTACGAAGAGAATGCGAGAATACTTTTGGTGTGCAAAGAAAACAAAAATAATGACTTTATTCAACAATTCTTCTCCTCCTAATCACATCTTCCGCCATTATCGACACACGTGCGTTCTACATCAGAACGCTGTCGTTATTATTGCTTTCTTTTAAGATGTCCTTACTACCTTTCTGGGCCTTAAACGTGTCAGTTGCATTGCTGTCTACTAGGGATGTAACGATACACTCAGAGCCTGTTGAAAATCGATATAAATATGTGATGATTCAAATCGGTTGAGATGTTAAACAAAACGTGGGGGTAGGCATTTATATGAATGTATCTGAGAGGAACTGACTGTCTTTAGACAAGTTTAGATGGTATTTTCTTTTCATCTTGCTTCCGTATGAAGTTGTGTTCATAAGCTTTGTTTAACGATACACTCAGAGCCTGTTGAAAATCGATATAAATATGTGATGATTCAAATCGGTTGAGATGTTAAACAAAACGTGGGGGTAGGCATTTATATGAATGTATCTGAGAGGAACTGACTGTCTTTAGACAAGTTTAGATGGTATTTTCTTTTCATCTTGCTTCCGTATGAAGTTGTGTTCATAAGCTTTGTTTACAGTGGTAACCAAGGAGATGGTTCATCTAAAAATTTAAATGATTTAATTTACTTGTTCAACATATTCAAAACCTGTTCATGCTGATCTTTTCCATATTGTCAAGCTTCAAAATGCTAATAAAGTGCTATTTTTTTTCTTAACCACAAGAACAGAAATATCAAAAGACTTTAAAGAAGTTTGAGCCAACTTAATACAGACTCGTTAGTTGTTGTTTTTTTTTCATTTGAAGCCTCAATCTGTACAAATACGGGCTTTGATCAGGTTATTAGAGTCTGATGCGGAGTGAAAAGCTTGGAGATCAAATCCCACCCAGTCCCGTCAGAGTCAGGATGAGTGGGAGGAGGGCATGTGGTGGAATAGAGGGGGAAGGGGGCAGAGGAGAGGATTGATACATGGCCCAGACAGCACTAAGCAATGGCTTGACTGCTCTCATCAGTTCAATGTCTTTGAGCTTTCACCTATTATTCAATATGATATATTTCTGAGTGAAGCAAAATATTGAGCATGACGTATTATGTGTCGGAGCTTGATTTTATTTAACAGAACATAGTAAAAAATTATATTATATCCTTTTTTTTTTTTTAAATGCTCTGAATCATATCTAAAATCATGTCAGGAATATTTAGTTAAGATAAAATGAAATAATTCAAATCTAATAATAAAATGTATGTGTTAAATTTGTTCACCTATAATTCACCCAAGACTCTTTCATTTAGTTTTTTTTGTTTCTTTCTCTGAAATAATTTTTCTCTCAACCCTCAATAGGGTGCCCCTGCGTCTAGGATTTCTGCTGGCTAGTGTTTTTTTCCTGGTGGTGAACGTGACGTGTGCCATGCTGGTTCAGGGAGATGTGGGTGAGAGTGAGGTGAAGGATGCCGTTCTGGCACGAGTGCTGGTTAACGACAGCCTCTTTGTGCTCTGTGCGATCTCACTCGCCATCTGCATCTTCAAGATCGCTAAAATGTCTTCTGCCAATGTCTACCTGGAGTCAAAGGTAAGTGGACAGGGATGCGCTTGGATTTGGAGATTACCAATTTGGATTCAGAACATGACCGTGTAGCATTTTCAGTTTGACAGTGCAATAACTAATTGCATTGAATAGTGTTGGAAAAGTAATTACCATTCTGTCTAACTGTGGTGATCTTGTGATCCAGGGGACATCAGTATGCCAGGCCACAGCCATTGGGGCAGCAGTTATCCTCCTCTACACCTCCAGAGCCTGTTATAACCTGGTTGTGGTGGCTCTTTCTCCTGAAGATCGGCCCAGCCCGTTTAATTATGGCTGGTACAATGTATCTGACCAGGTAGTTCAATATAACTTTACGTATATATTAATGTTAAATCTAAAGCCCCGTTCACACCAACAACGATAACTATAAAGATAACGATATTAGCGTCCAGACCAGCGGACGGTATCGTCAGTTTATTCTAAGTGCACACGCGTCTGACGCTTTAAATTCTCGAGCTTGTGATAGTAGGACTGATTCTGATTAAGTGTCAATAATTTTATCGTTCATCAGCTGAAAAAAATAGTTCTGGAAGTGATTCCAACAATATCGTTTCTCTGTGCCTTTATTGTTACAGTTGTGGTGTGAACTCTGCTATTCTTTAATATTGAGAACCATTTTTAGAGCTATATCTTTATTGTTATCTTTATAGTTATCTTTGCGGCAGACGCATGTGCGCTTAGAATGAACAGACGATATTGTTCGCTGGTGTGGACGCTAATATCGTTATCTTTATAGTTATCTTTGCGGCAGACGCATGTGCGCTTAGAATGAACAGACGATATTGTTCGCTGGTGTGGACGCTAATATCGTTATCTTTATAGTTATCTTTGCGGCAGACGCATGTGCGCTTAGAATGAACAGACGATATTGTTCGCTGGTGTGGACGCTAATATCGTTATCTTTATAGTTATCTTTGCGGCAGACGCATGTGCGCTTAGAATGAACAGACGATATTGTTCGCTGGTGTGGACGCTAATATCGTTATCTTTATAGTTATCTTTGCGGCAGACGCATGTGCGCTTAGAATGAACAGACGATATTGTTCGCTGGTGTGGACGCTAATATCGTTATCTTTATAGTTATCATCCTTGGTGTGAACGGGCATTAAGTGTGATGCAGTATGTTTTTTTTTTTTATATAATTAATACTTTTATTTAGCAAGGATACTTTAAATTGATCCAAAGGCAGTATAGACTTTCAAAGATTTATAAAGTTACAAATGATTTTTATTTCAAATAAATTCAGTTCTTTTGAACTTTCGTTTTATCAAAGAATCCTGAAAAATAATCTATGTAATGGTTTTCACAAAAACATTAAGTAGTTTAAAACTGATGAATAGCATATTAGAATGATTTCTGAAGAATAATGTGACATTAAAGCCTGAAAATGTAGCTTTGCATCACAGGAATAAATTAGGTTTTAAAATATATTATAATAGTAAAGAGCTATTTTAAATTGTAGTAATATTTCACAATATTACTGATTTTACAGTATTTTAATCAAATAAATGCAGCCTTGGTGAGCATAAGAGACTTCAAAACCATTTAAAAAACGTACACAGCCCAAACTCTTGAGAGATAGTTTATGTAGAAAACATAAAGCTGGTAAACCCTAATTGAACTATTGAACTGTCCCAGATAAACAAGTCTCAGAAAGCTCACTGCTGTTAGTGTGGTTCAGCTGTTTGAGTTAATAATCAATGCTGTTTTCACCTTTATGTGAGATGTATGAACTTATGTATTTATTCTTCTCATTTGCAGTTATTATAGTAGCTCATTTTTGTGTGCCCTGATTTAGCACTGCATCCTTCAAGGGCTGTTATGTGTTTGGTACAATTAAAAAGTATAATAGAGGCTGTGTAATAAATGACAGATTATGCCTTTTGCTGCATATTTACAAATGTATTTCTGTACTTTGTTGTTTTATAAAAAGAGATGTTGACGGCTTCATTCATTCAAAATAAAGTAATTCAACATGGATTACGTTGCTTTGCGCAGTGCTCCACAGAAACAATCCATTTGAGGGGATTTAGACGGATATGGGCTCTGTGAGGGAAAGGTTTTTGTTTTGCTATAAATAGCTCGGGCAAGGCTGCTGTGCAGAAAAGATGGCTGGCTGGCTGCCTGGTGGTGACCTAGTTTGGGTTCACCTCTGAGACGGGCCAACAGGAAGCCAAGGTTCCCCTGATCGGCCTGCCCCCTTCTCTGACTCAGCTGCATATGTTTGGTCTTGCTTATTCTTCATAAAGCTACTTTGTCTCACGCAAAGCTGTTGTGAGGATTTGTTTCTCGCTGTTTTGATGATGCATTTGATTCTAGGATTGATTACATCTTTCCTCATCCTGCATTGTCTGCATTTTTGCAGATATTCGTATGCATCATGTTTGTGCTTTTGTTTGTTGTAGGCCACAGTGTCTTGTGCTTTTCAATGGTAGTATAGTATGTCTACTTGTTAGGGCTATTCTCCTCTAAGGCTGCATGATTTGAGGAAAAATTGGTTTGCTTTTTAATTATTTATTTATTTATTTTTCATGATAAAAATTGTGATTGCAATTTGATTGCATTTTAAAAGATTCAAGTTTGCTGTGCTTGTTTGTGGGGCTGTGGTGCTTCTATTTAGCTTTCATTTATATTTATTTCAGTTCTAGTTTTTATTTTTTTAGTACTTCAACTTAAACCTTTTTTACACAAGAAAGATGAAGGTTTTCGTCTAATATTTTATTGTATTTTACAAAAACGATTGTAAATGGTTTTTAGATTACATTTAGATTATTGTAGGCTTTAGATAACAAGAACAACTCTGCTGTCTACTCTAAGGTGTATTGGCCTTTACAGCGTACCGATACATCAATATGCTCAGAAGTGGAAAGTTCTCAAAATGTTAAATTTGTCTTGCATTGTGTTTGTGTCTCCAGGCGGATGCAGAGAAGATCAATGGGGAAGCCTATGTGGTCTTTGGGATCATCCTGTTCTTCTGGGAGTTGCTGCCCACCAGTCTGGTGGTGGTGTTCTTCAGAGTGCAGCGGCCCAATCAGAACCTGGTGAAAGTCTAATCCTGTCTTACTCCTCTAAATCTGTCCATCAATATCACAGCTGGACACTTACTCAATGATGAGAGCCGGCGATCGGCTTTTTAAGCCCCAGCGGAGAGTTGTTTTCCTGTCAGATAGAATTAATTACTCCGACGTCTGCCCCACTGAAACCAACATCCCATGCTGCTGTGTTAGTCACGTATTTGTCTGTCTGTGTTGGACCAGTCATACCGTTTTATTTACATTTTGTATACCTTGTTTCCACAGACACCGGGTGGCATGATCAACAGTCACAGCTTTAGTTCCAGGGCGTATTTCTTTGACAACCCACGCCGCTATGATAGTGATGATGATCTGTCTAGAAACACAACTTCCCGAGGAGATAGATGCAGGTGTGTGTACTCACATTTGTGTTTACTGGAACTTCTCAAAGATAGGAGTGTTATATTTACTTCTAGTTAAAGATTTATGATGTTTTTAAAGGAATAGTTTAATTAAAAATTATTTCATCACGGGATTCCAGACCCCTTGGCCCCTGAAATGAAAGCTTTAGGAACCAAATTACTTCTATTTTTAGATGCTTTACAGAATTATTATTAGTGTTACTAAATAAAAATATGAATCAAAATTGGAAATGACTATTCTAATATTTTACTGAATGTTTTTGAATGTCCAATCTAGGCTGCAATTAATTGATCAAAATACAGTAAAAACAGTAACAATGTGAAAAATAATTATAATTTAAAAATTTTTTAATTTAATCTTTTGTAAAAATGTAATGTATTTTCAGTAATGTAAAAACATCACTGACCCCAAAACCTTTTAATTTTAGTGTAACCGAAAATGACGCCAGTTAAGTGAGCGAGTCACTTCTGAAATCAGTAACGGCTCTGAATGACTAAGTCTGATTTAAATCTTTAACTCACAAGCAAGGCTGTTTCATGAAACTTTCTGACTGACTCATTAAAAAGGACCAGTTCATTAGAGTCATTTGTTTGGGAACCGCATGGTGATTTACTTGTCACACTTGCAAATTTTAAAAAATTTTGTGCATCTGGTGCCCTGACTCACCTCTTTAAAAACTCACGTCTTTAAAAACTTGTATATTTTTCTTCAGCTAAAAACATGTTTTTTGTGAACTATCATTTTAATTTATATGATTGATATATCAGTTAAATTGTATCTCTAAGCCTGAAGGTTCTGTTTTCCAGCAGTATCCTGTCGTCCACACCGCAGATGGGCCCAAGTTGGTACGGCTCGATCCAGAGGAACGGCAGCCTAACGGCAATCCCTCACCTGCTGAACGGCCCCCAAACATCAACCGCCCCTCTTCTCTTTGCCTATGGCAACATTCAGACCAACCAGCACCACAATTACTATTCCACCCCCCAGAACTACTACTCGACCTCCCAAACACACTATGCCACCCCTCAGAACTAAAGCAGATACTTCTGTGGAACGATCTAGTCTGAGGTTTGGCTCAGCCAGGACATCGAGCAATGCTTTATGGTCGTCGAAAAAAAAAGAAAGGACATTTAAAATAAGTGATCACTTTTTGAAAATATAATACCACTAATAAAGAACAACACTTCTCTTACTGAGAAAAGTACATTCACAATATTAAATAATATATATATATATATATATAAAAAAGGTAAATATTTATGTAATCGTCAATATGCTCAAAAAATCTAGGTGCTGAGGCACATATTCAAAAACTACAATGCTTAATTTAACTCATATTTTAAAAAATATATTACACCTATAAAGAAATGAAAACTTGGCTTTATATATGCAAAATACACAAATCAAGTGGTTTATGTCCCTCTTGTAAACCATTTGAAGTATATTTATGTATCTCCATTTAATTCCCAAGAAGCTATGTTATTTTTTGGTCACTTATTCTGTTCTTTTTTACATTTAACATGTGAAATACATTTTTGTAAGAGACATGTAATAGCCCTAACATACAGTTTTGTGACTAAGGTGCTCAATTCTTAAGGGATAAAACTGTGCAGTGCTGTTAAACTGTATTTAGAAACAATTGGTATAAAACATTCTGAAAACCGTAATTTAACAACCCAAAACAAATCTGTCCTGTTGTGTTATGCATGTCAGATTCTTGACTGTGGCTGAATGAGGGATTTTTACTGTCACTGTTTGAGATTTGACAACAGCGACCGAAAGTTCTCCAGCTCTCTGACACTTGTGGAGATCCTGAAACAAAACAAGACACATTAAAACAAGACAAAGATATCCTGACAAAAACAGATATTGACATACCTTCCAAAAGCATTGAACAAAGACACAATTTCCTGCCGGCTGAGCTGAAATGATGGATTGGTGTTGCTTGTGTTGGGCATTGCCTCTATTTGCCTTTCTGAGAACAGGATTTTCAGTGCACTTCCCAAGCCCTGAGTCTATGAGAGACAATCACTAAACGTCACATATCAACACAAACATCATCATCTGGGTACATGTCACAGTCTTCACCATCTTACCTGTAATTTGCCCCAAAGTCTGCATTTAAAACACTCAACACAGTCTATGATGCGTGAGATGTTCTTAAAAGTCAGCTTGAAGTCTTCCTAAGGTCAGGAAAGATGCAACTGATTTAATGCTTCTTTTTTAAAAAAAAACATGTATTTCTGTAACATTGTTATTATAGCAAACATGAAAAAGAGCCACTGACTTTCAGTTTCATAGCTTCCTTATTATTTCCAGCAAATAGAGCAGTCTCATCAAAATGCAATGGAAAGGATCTGCAAATATAACATTTTTAAATATATTAGAATATATTCATATAAAAAAAATTATATATTGTGAAATATTATTACAATAAAAAAACTACTTTTTTTTTGGCGCAACCATTGCAATGCTCTTACTTGGCCACATGGAGAAGCTCTAGAAGCAGTTTCTTGTTCTCGTTGTCTTGAGTGCGTTGGCCAGTGTACAAATGGAAGGCAGGACGTTCAAAATAAGGCAGTATTTTTGCCAAAGCACGCAGCTCAATGAGGTACAGGAAGTAGAGGTTGCGCAGTCTCTTTGGCCCCTCCCCTTCTGTCAGCTCCTCGTCAAACCTCAGCTGGAACTCGGAGACGTTGTGACCCCACTTCATTTTGAACCAGTTTTCTGACCGAACAAATCAAATCAGACTACAAAACACTCAAGTTTAAATAGTCCCAGAAATGTTCAACTTTTTAAATTTTTAACTTGCAATGAAAAACACAAAACAAGTCGTGACTTACCGTCTAGTAGGTACCTGGCGCTCAGGTGTATGTTTATACTGGCATGCAGTCCTGAGATCAGCCTGAAGAATGCTCGTTTCTCCACACACAAGCCTCGAGGAACAACATAAGGGACATGAAAATTAAAATATACAGTAACATATAAAACACAGCACCTTCCTGAGATCAGCCTGAAGAACGCTCGTTTCTCCACACACAAGCCTCGAGGAACAACATAAGGGACATGAAAATTAAAATATACAGTAACATATAAAACACAGCACCTTTAAGTAGGGCTGGGCGATACCACTTATTTTGTTTTCGATACGATACCGACATTTTTCAAGGCAGTAACATCGATATCGATACCGATTCGATACTTCTGAACTAAACTTTTACATTATGAAAAGTAAAATGGGTAATGATAAGCACAACTTTATGTTTAAAATGCATTTTAAAATTCAATATGCCTTAATTGTAGCTTATTAGGTTATATTTTTGTTTACACATGGTTCAAATATGTTTTTTGTTTACACATTATTCAAATCTATAAATACTACAGTTGAACTACGGCCACTTTAGTAAAACCATGGTTCATTTTCATAAGGGACTGCCAGTGACCGGCTGTTGCATGCATAAAATGCAACCTTTTTATGCTGACAGTGTATGATTTCTATTAACATTACAGAATAGAACATGATCAATATTATCTTTCAATGTTCAATTTAAATAACTGTAATTGCACAAACTATGCAGGCTACAATTTCAGTTGGTTTATTGTGAAATAACTCTGCCCTTCTGTCCTCTGATAAGCATTGTTCAGGGCTGCCGTTCCCAAAAGCTTTAATGCTTTTTTATGATACTTTTGGGAAACGCAGCCCCGTTTGAATGTACTGTCAGAAGTGAGTGAACACGCTCTGTGATGGATTAGTTCTGTCCTGCAACATTTGTGTGTGTTCAGATGAGCAGGAAAATAGCTCTATCCTACACAATTACTCTCTAACAAAGGTTATTCGTCCAATTCAATGCATATTGTACACATTTTTTTGTTGTTAAATTAACAAAATCACTGGTAAATAAAACACACCTTAGTATCGATATTTTCGATACTTGCGTCAGTATCGATATATTGATACGCCCATCCCTACCTTTAAGCAGAAACTTACCTTCTAGCCAGCGGTAGAAGCCTTGCCCTTTAACGAGAAACAGACTTGTCAATTTCTAGCTGATCAAATCACTGGTTAAATGGATTTGAAGAGCGTAACCTTACCATCGTCTCCTAAAGTGGAGGGAAAGAAAGAGAGATGATTACAAGGATTATCTGTCATAAGCATCACAATATGACATGGATCTACTGCATATAAAATCAATGTGCTTAAAAACAGACCAATTTTAGACTTGAAAACATAAAACAAAGCATTACTGCTCACCGCTGTTAGACGCCAAAGGATTCAGTGGTCGTTTAACTGAATACGGTCTGAAAAAGTAGCAAAAAAGAACGAGAGTTGTTACAACATTATGAGCACTCAATGATAATTAATCAAAATATCAAAGACAGGTTAGGTTGCAAATTATAGGTGGGCTTTTAGGGTGTGAAGATTGATGTTATTTGTTCAAAAATTGAGTAAAAACAGAAATGTTGTGAAATTTTATTACAATTAAAATTAACAGTTTTCTCTGTTTTAGTATATTTGAAAATACAATTTATTCCTGTGATGAATAAGCTGAGCTTTCAGCATCATATCTCCAGTGACAAATGATCCTTCAGAAATCATTCTAATATGCTGATTTACTGCTCAAGAAAATGTCAGAATGTGAAAGTCTGATTTGCACTAAATGCTCACAAACAGAAGCGGTAGTTATTTATAATGTGTTATTGATGAGCAGGGGCGTACATTTTGTCTAACGAAATAACAATAAACATAAAATTAAAAGGGAACAGAAATAATCCAGCTAAAATTGTACTTGTAAGTATATGTATACACAGAGGAAAGCTATTATTCGTGCAGCAGGGAGACCGTGCCAAATTAGACAACTTCAAGCTGTTGTGGTCACGCCGCTACAGCACTCGTGTCTGTTGTAGACATTACGATCCGTCACAGTGTTGCCAAGTCACAGTGTTTCCCATGGAATTGGGCTACTTTATCACAGATGCCGCGGGTTGTTTTTCATGTCCACAGGTTGAAGCATCCCCAATAATGTGTATTTTAGCCCCCGGAACAAGATTTTTACCGGGGGACCCCTCGAAACGTGGTTAGTTTGGGCTACTTTTGAGTAGCAATTTGGAGGGTTTTGTTGTGAAACCTGGCAACCCTTTCTGTCAAGCAGGTAATGTTATTGCTAATTAGCGACTCATCGAAAAATACACTGGCATCATCTGTATTAAAGAGAAAATAATCACTTTATCTGATGTTTAAGTGTATAAAATAGCCTCGACAGCCTTACTTACTGGAGTTCCACAACTATTGACTATGTTCTCTCTCGCCGGACTTGTGTGTGTAGGTGATAGGGCTGTCAAAATGGCTGAAAAACTATTTTGTACTTAAATATGATCAAAATTCGAATTATTATTAATTCGAATTTAAAATGCATAATTTCAGTTAGGGTGAAGAAAAGCTTCTACTGAGGCCACAAGAGGGCACATCATTCAAAGCATAAGATAACATTACTATCTGCGAAAAAAAGTGCATAAGTAAGTTGTTATAAATTATAAGTTGCTTAAACAACTATAAACAAAACAGCATCATGTACGTATGCAAAGTTTAATACAAAGGGTGGAAAGCCAATCACACAGAGTACATTTTTCATTTAAAAACATGAGATGCAGTGGGATGGGGAAAAACCCGCCATAATGTCTCGATGTATGTTTTTTTCAAAGTTAAACTTGCATTAATTTTACATGACTTTCTAAACATGCGGCTCCTTTGTGCGAGACGCGAGTGCAACAGTGATAGATGTCCCTCTAGAAAATGTGTGAAATATGCATTCTGTGTGAACGGCTTGGCTTTGGTTTTGATGTAAACAAGATCTTCTCCGCATTGATGTTCTCTTTTTCCGCTATATTTTTAATGAACAATGCAGCAGCGCCACATCTAGTGGCTTCAACTGGATTAGCTAACAAAAACATTATAATGCAACGACACTTACATCGTCATCGCATCTCGTGCGCCACTGATAAGGCTGCCTCCTTAACGCACACCTAAAATTCGAATGCAACGTTTTTGCATTCGAATGTGGATTTTTATATTAAATTCGACGAATATTCAAAATTTTTTTTGACAG